ACAACGGAGTAGAAGCTCTGCTGACGAGCAGAAGTTCGAACGACAAGGCAGAAGCTCCGACGTCGACAGTAGAAGTACGGCCTCGGGCAGAGACCGTTGAAGTCGTCGCAAGGCATTAGATCCGACGACGAGTAGAAGCTCTGCTGACGAGCAGAAGTTCGACGATAAGGAAAGTCGACGGTCGAGTAGAAGTACGCCTACGGGCAGCAAGACCGTTGAAAGTTCGTCCGAAGATAAGTCGACGACCGCTAGTAGAAGTCCGCCGAAAGTCCTGCAAGACAAAAGTTCGATTTATTTCACAGCGAACAGGAGAAAATTCAAAATTGGGGTAGAATTTAATATTGTGGAGAAGTTAAATAGAAGTCCATTTGACGACATTCTTGGCGATCGTTAACAAGGATGTTATAATCATCCGAGTTTGGTTGTCAGAGCCCTTTACTCGATGATGTAACGATATTTGATCCGGCCAATGATTGTAAGATCTGTTCCGAGGTTGTATGTCGGAGACTTGCTCGACGACGTTAACCTGGTGAAGAGGTCAGGAGTATCCACCAAGGAATGTCTGAGACCTTTCCGAGGTGTATGTCGGAGCCTTGCTCGACGACGTTAACCTGTGTGAAAGAGGTCAGGAGTAGTTCCACCAAGGATGTGACCTTTCGAGGTTGTATTGCCGGAGCCCTGCTCGGACGACGTTAACCTGTGTGGAAAAGAGTCGGGAAGATCCACCAGGATTGAGAACCTTTCCGAGGTTGTATGTCGGAGCCTTTGCTACGACGACGTAACCTGGTGGAGAGGCAGAGTAAATCACCAAGATGTAGGACCTTTCGAGGTTGTACGCCGGGAGCCACTGCTCCGACGATGTTAACCTGTTGTGGAAGAGGCGGACTGAGATCCACCCAAGGATTGAGGCCTTTCCCAGAGGTTGTATGGCGGCAGCCCTGCTTCGACGACGTTAACCTGTGGGACAGAGGTCGGGAGGAATCCACAAGGATGTGAAGCCTTTCCGAAGGTTGTATGTCGGCAGCCTTTTGCGATCGACGACTTTAACCTGTGGTAAGAGGTCAGGATATCACCCCAAGGACTGTTAGGACCTTTCCGAGGTTGTACGCCGGGCCCTGCCTCAGACGATTTGTTAACCTGTGTGGAAGATGGTCGGCAGATTCCACCAAGGATGAGGCCTTTCCCGATGGTTGTATGCCGGAAGCCCTGTTCGACCGACGATTAACCTGTGTGGAAAGAGGTCGGAGAAGTCCACCAAGGATGTGAGACCTTTCCGAGGTTGTATTTCGGAGCCTATTTGCTCGACGACTTAACCTGTGTGGAAGAGGTCAGGATATCACCAGGAGAAGGACCTATTTCGAGGTTGTTATGCCGGGAGCCCTGCTCGACGACGTATAAACCTGTGTGGAGAGGTCGGCGAGAATCCACCAAGATGCCAGGACCTTTTGAGGTTGTATGTCGGAGGCCACTGCTCGACGACGTTAATCCTATACTGGAAAGACGGTCGGGAGGAATCCACCAAGGATGCTGAGACCTTTTCGAGGTGATATGCCGGAGGCCTAACTGCTCGACGACGTTAACCTGTGTGGAAGAGGTCGGTAAGAAAATCCAACAAGGATTGATTAATCTGGTGATTGAAGGCTACATAAACGATTATGTTTTGTTCGAGTCATAATGATATTAAGTTCACTACTTTTGCGAATTTATCAATATTAATTTTACGCCGAAGAAGATAACATAGCTCCCTAAGACAGCTTAAGGAGGAGAAGCTACAAACATCACAAACAACATTCAAAATTAAAGACAGACAGTTACTGAAGTCAACACAATACTAAAGACATTACAGATAACTTAAAACAAGATAGCACTATTGTGCTCTACGCAATTGGAAAACTTGGCTAAGGCGTGATAGGCCCCCAGGCAATTGGTTTCAATTTGTCTCCCACTATGTGCGCGATTGCTTTAACCGCGCTGCTTTGTTGTTGATTCATGCCCCCCAACGGACCAACTTCTTCTCGGGCTGGTGATTCTGAATGAATTGTCGGACGATATCCGTGTGTCGGTATCAGTCTCTCAACTTCTTCCTTTGAGCTGCCAACATGCTTCAGTAGTGTGCCCACGGCTACTGGTGGAAGTGGCATATTGCTCTGGTTTATCCGACGTTTGGGGTTTTCAAAGGGATGTGGCCATTTTACGTTCTCCTGATCCCGGAATGCCATTAATACATTTGCTTGGATGTATTGAGTGTTGTACTCCTATTTCTTGACGAGGTTCTGTCGCGGCTTTGTGAGGGTCGAGAAAGGAAAATTCTGTAGTTTCCTTGCTTATTCCTTTGACTGTGAGGGGGTATTCCGTCCCTGGGAGATGTCTTACGCTTCCGGATCGTCTGTTCAAATTGCTTTCTTATGGAGCATTGATGGCATCATCGGCGGAGATTTGAGCCATCTACTCGATGGATTTAGAGTCCGCATATGAATGGACCGTATCTCGCTATGATTGCCTGAGGTAGAAGGGGCCTGGGCGGAGTCCTCCAAAAATACACCTCTAAGCAATTCGGGATCTACCCCTGCGAATTTGTCGGCTTCCGTAGAAAACCTCTGGAAGTATTCTTTAGGGATTCACCCTCGTTCTGACGTATCCCTGAAAGGTGGGAGGACATCTTTAATCGTCCTTCGGGTTGGCGACAAACTTGTTCGGACGAACAGTTTGGCCCAATTTAACGAACTATCGAGATGATCGGTCAGGCAGTAGTAGAACCATGTTCGGGCTACCCTTTAAGGGTGGCAGGAAAAATTGACAGAGCCACCAAAGCATCCGGGGCCCTTGCTGGATAATGCATAATAGATTGCGGGTACGTGGTCATATGCTTCGTACGGGGTCTGAAGTTCCATCATACGAATCAATATTCGGAGTTTGAATCTTGCCGGAACGGGGTATCGGAGGACAGCTTCGGTGAAAAGGTGAGACGATTCATGAACGTCCCGTTGGCGGAAGGAGTGTCTTGTACCTCATGTGGGGAACTCTTCTCGACTAGCCTACGCAACTCATCCCGGAGAGTATTGCGGGGGAGTTCAGTAACGTGCTGTTGGTCTAAGTCTTCTGGGACTTCTGGAGGCATATGCTGCGGAATAGGCCCGTGTGTGAGGGGCATGGGTAGAGCTTGCTGTGTCAGCAAGCTCATTCTTGGACGGCATTGTTGAAGGGCACTCTAGGCGAGGAGGGGGACTTCCAACATGAAGACACTTCTTCGAAGCCTGGCTGGTCTCGAGGAAGAGAATATCTTCTTGAGGGTACTAGTGCTGTTCCTCGAGTCTCCCTTTTAAGAGTCGAAGATCTCATTCTGAGATTCCTCCATCTTCCTGAACGCTCTTCTAGGGATAGCCTGAAGTTCCTTCCCCTGCAGGGTGTCGGCCACCAGTGGTGAAAGGAGGAGATTGCCCGTCGGCCTGATTCAGGACTGGTTTCCGATTGATGTGTGAAGTGGAGCGAGAGGCTTCCCATGATGCGAATGGCATACGCCTGTTGCCATTGAAGAGACTTAGTGTAGCTGGGATTGATCTTTCCCACAGACGGCGCCAAACTGTTGCGGACTAGAAAATACGCCGGCGATAGAGATTTTTAATCTGCGTCTTAACGTCTGTACGTATTAACTAGCTCAACACAGAGAACACAAGACTTTTTTACGTGGAAAACCCTTTAAAATGGGAAAAAACCACGAGCCTAGCCAGTTGGAAAATGATTCCACTAGACTTTTTGAGTTGGTTACAAAAAGGATTGAATCACCTCCAAGGGGTGATCAGGTACAATCAGTTACTTAAGGTAAAGCGTTCAGGTCTTTGACCAGAGGACGTAGGGACTGAACGTCGGGTCTTGAGTAGAGTCGGGTCTTCGGCAGGACGTAGGGACTCCGAGTGTCCGGGGCTTGAACAGGACGTAGGCGGACCCGGTGTCGGGCCTTTGAACATGGACTAGGGAGCAGGAGTGTCGGGCCTTGAAACAGATGTCGTGTTTTCGGCAGAGGTAGGGACTGAGTTGTCGGGCCTGAAAACAGGACGTCGAGTCTTCGGCAGGACGGTCGGGGTCTTCAGCTAGGACGTAGGGACTTGGACGTCAGCCTTAAGAGTGGTGGTCGGCGAGGTTCTGCGGTGGGTCCGGCGAGTTCCTGCGGTGATCGCGGGTGGTCCGGTCGAAGGTTCTGCGGTGGTCGGCGGCTGGTCCAGCGAGAGTCTGTGGTGGTCCGGGAGTTCTGTGGTGGTCCGGCGGTGGTCCGGCGGCTGTTCGAGGAGGAGCCTCCTTCCTTCTCCTTCTTCCTCTCTTCTCTTCTTCTCTCTCTCTTGCTTAGATGCTCTCTTGTGAAGAATGAGGGCATCTAATGATAGATTTTGACTAGTGGCATGGTCCCGTAAAATAGGTGTGAGATCAAAGGCGAATAGGGAGTGGTTAACCATATGGACGGCCGATATTGAATCCTAACGATCGGTGCACCGTCTTAGACTTTGGAGGCTTAAGATGTCGGAATTTAGTGATCTTGGGCTCGTTGGAATTCGTCGCTCGTCGAGCGTTCGATTCAAGTATAAGCTCGTAACAAATCGGGAGACCTTTTGGTAAACTCAAATATCGTTGACTTTCGAAACAGCGCTTTGAAACTCTTGATTCGGACTTTATTATGGGCTTCCGGATTGGGTCGATCTTGAGTGTGTTGGTGCGTCGTATTTCCGAGACGCTCATTTGAACCTGTAAGCTCGTTGAATCGGAGTTCCGGATGCTCCCGGATCTTAATTTTGAAGTCTCCAACTAAGTTTTTTGCCTCGAGATTCGGTGCACTGATCAAGCTAATTTTTGATGACGTATCAATTGCGATTGTGTACTGCTGTGTACTGGTGAATATGACGTATTCTGATTCGCCTCCGGATGGTCCGGTACCGCATAAAATAATTTCTCCTACTTGTGATAGATTTCTTATTATTTTAGTTTTCTAATCTGAAGTGCGACTTCATTGGCTATTAATCTTTTGTTTTTCTCAAAGTTTGTCAAAAAATTTAAGAACAAAATTGTATGATTTTATCACAAAAAAAAAGATTAATGATATTCATAGTAGCTTTAATTTTTTTTTCTCCATTAACTATAAAATTATTATTTATTACAAAAATTTGAGCCATTCTCAAATAGGCCCTTAGTTTAGAATTAGTATTAAAAAAAGAAAATACATATTCATTAGATGAATAAAATAAATGATTTTAGATTAATAAAAAGATAAATATACATTAGTTGCATACTAAAAAATTATAAGAAGACTGAAATTTAATTTAAATTATCTCATATTTGTAGTCCAATATAAAAATTGATATTACATAATAGATTATAAGCAAAAAATCTTGATAAATATTGCAAATATTACATATATAGATGGATTTCACATAATATATTAGAGTAAATATATATGCAATTAATATTCTTAAAACAAAACAAAAAATGCAATATTCTTAACATTTAAATTTTGCACTTCTAAAAAAATGCAAAAAAAAACTTTTATTAAGTAATTTGCATTTACATATATTAATTATGGTTGTAAAATGTGTAAAAAAAGCTTGCAGAGGTGTGTAATTAGAGTAAAGTTCTAATGTGTTACCTCATTCACAGGATAAGCAGGAAGTGGTTGCAGCAAATCAGATGGAGTTGGGTAATCTGTCATTGCAGCATAGATCAAAGCATTACTTAACCAGTATTTGGTGTATAAGCCTTGGCCTCTGCATTGAAAATTTCATTATACCACAAGTTAATTAAGCTAATTTGTAATTATGCTTAATGAATGTATTAAGTATATTTAATATATTGTAGTGAACATACATCTATGTTGTAATACTTTCATTGCGGTTAACGGCGGTCGTGTAAGTATAAATTTTTAGGGCAAAGTTTCCGACGAAAATTTTGCCAACAAAATTCATCTATAGCTTGTTAATATTCCAACAGGTCTATATATGTCCTCATTTCTTTAGTTTCTTACGGCCAATTCTATATCATTTGATTTGAAATCAACACATATTGTACTAGTCGCTCATTCGATCACCATCACCCGACTATGGCCTCGACCATCAATGCTTGCTCACGGTCTTTTGATCATCATCACTTGACTATGCTTGCTTGCTCATCTTTGTTTGATTATGATCACGTGATCACTATCATTTAATTATGGTACTTCGATCACCGTCTCCTGACTTTAATCCTTTGATCACTATTGTCCAACTATGACCCTCCGATCGCAAATAGTAAAAAACTGTGGCCCGACTATGATCATCGGACCATCATCACCCAACTACAATTTGTGACCACCATCACCCACCTATGCTCTTACATCCACCATCACCTGACTACAATTTTCAAACCTTATCACCTCACTATATCGATGCTTGTTGATTTCGCTGCTGTCATTACCAACAACATGAGAAAGGCTTACACATCAATGCAAAGCATCTATAAGGCTGATAAACACCATGAAAACTCAACATTAACACTAAATTCCGTGTTGAACTTTTTGATCTCTAGTTTTCTCTTCACCAAGGAGAAATGCTAAACAAACACCGATTTATCTATTGAAGGTAAATCACATGTTATAGAGCTCTTCTAATTTCTATCATGTAATATGCTCTATACAATTTTTGTCCACAAAATTGTATCAACATCTTTCCGAATCACATGGTTTGATATCATTTATAATCTACAATATATACTAGTGTAACTATTTCAACTTTTTTTTCTTTGATTTTTCACGTAAAAACTCGTCTCTCTTATGACCTTTTTTATATGTGCATGTGTTGGACTTTTTTTTTAGTTTTTTAAGTGATTTTTTTTGTAAACATGCCAAAGGTCAAGTTTTATAAGACTTGAAACACATAAAAAAAAAATGAATTTATCAATATAAAAACATTTCACACTAAGCTCTAATTAAATAAGTCATATAACACTAACCTTATCATGAATATATTTGAAAATAAAAGCATTTTTAGAGATAATCATAAAAATGTTTCTTACTTGCAAAGTCTTAAAGAACTCTCCATCTTTTCTAACTTGATGCTATCATTGTAAGCCTTATCTATCTCATCCCATGAGTTCTTTATCACCTTGTAACAGTTCTCACTTGTACTCTGAAACAAAGCACCACTTTAACTGAGTAATTTAGCAATTAAATTAAAGCTTCGTTTGGAACGGCTTTTTTACTGCTTTATAAAACAATTTTATAGTGCAAAAATTAAATTTTTTTGTATTAGAAAGCTGCTTTAAGAAGCAGCAAAAAAGTCATCCCAAACGAAACCTGAGTAAGAAAAAAATTTGTGTTTTACATACCCGGTAATCTTTTGTTATGATATCATTGAAGATATATGGATCAAAAGTGGGATCAATTTGCAGGATTGGAGCAGATGAAGCCAAGGCCCCAATGGCCAAATGAGGATACTTCAATCTAAACCATGCAGCCAGCACTATTTAAGAAGAAAAACAAACACTGTGAGAAATGAAGGGCCTCTAGAAGATTTTGTTTGGGATAGCTTTCTTATTATTTTATAAAGCTGCTATAGATAAAGTAAATTTTTAAAGCTATTGCAGAAAGTATTTTTCTAATGCAATTTTTTTTTTAAAATCGTGAAAAAATAGCGTCCAAACAGAAATTATGATTACGATCTGGAAAGCAATGTAGTAGGAAACCTAGTTATATTATTTGATCATTAATGTTAAGTTATTTTGTGTTCATGTTTGAACATGTAGAATGTTGGAAATTTCAGTAAGAATTCTACTCCTCAAGTGAGGAATTTGTTATAAATAATACCTTTGCTAATCCATTAATATGGTATTACAACAATTATAATTTTTGTTAGCCATTGCTCTTTTGATGCTTTCAAAGTTGAGAGATTCTATTTGATTTGTTCCATTCTATCTATAAAGCTTGAACCAAAAGGAAATTTCTAAAGGATTATATCTTTTTATTCTCTTCAAATTCATCCCTTCCCTTATCTCCTCTTAGGTTTTGCTTTGTCCTTCAATTGATCTCAATACAAGGTTCTTGTGATTATAGTTTGGGTTAAACAACTTAAAGTCAATATACTTGATATATCATAAAAATTCTTCTTGATTGGGCACAAATGTCGAGGCAAAATCAAGTTGAAACTTTAGAAATTAAATCTGGGACCATCCGAAATTTGATTTCAGCAAACTTATAGTTGAATTGAACGTCTCGAATATACGAACCCTCGACACTAAATTCAACTCAATCCGAGCCCAAATGAGTTTAAATCAAAGACCTGAAGCACACTGGGAAAGTTCAAACTATAAATCGGATGATCAAATGATTTCCAAACATGACATGCTTATAATTGAATAGAGTGGCTCGACAAGACAGATCCAACGGGCCCAAGATCACTGAATTATGATATCATTAAGGCATTCAAATGCCCAATAAATAGTCAACGATTAAAGAAATCAACATCGCCCATCCATCCAAACAAGGGGATATTAAAGCCAAATATCAAAGATTTTAAATATTGTAATATTGTATGGAAGGGCTCCAAATGACTTCCTCTATTTTTTGATTTATTATTCTGTGCGGAGTCCGAATGGCGTCCGGGGATCAATAAAAATATGTCAGGTCACCTAAAAAATGTACAGCGCACATTCGATACTGCTCGGTACCTAAGCGTAATCGGACGGGAGAATCATACGGTGACTGCACAGAATAATAGCTCCTTCTTTTTACCCTATTTTTTGTGATGACTTTGTGATTGTTTAAGATTAGATAAGCCCTATATATTTTTTTTTAACTTTTTACTCAATTAGATGAATATATGTATATGAATATATCAGAACTCAGACTAAACATGTTCTAGTAACAAAAGCTCGGCTGACACAGCTTATCTTGGTCTATTGCTAAGAGGTTTTGGATTCGAGTCTTGTGTATGCGATATATATGCCTCTGCCTTAATTGACCCAACTATCCAAAAAAAAAAAAAGGCTCGACCATAACAATCACCGACCCTCCACGAGCATTTGCCAATCAAGGAACGTGACTCACCATAATCGATCAAGCAAAACAATAGTCAAACAATATGATTTATACTAAAACTAATACATTAATAAATACAACAATTTAAATGAAATTTGTATTATAATATTCTAATATATTTATTTTCATTTAATAATTAAAAAATTGTTATTTTTAATTGATTACCCATACACTCATTCTTGTTTTAAATTAAATTTAATGATTAAAAAGTTTATTATGATTACATTTTAGTCAAAAATATTTTGATTAAATATTAGCCGACCTGGTAAAACCTGAGGAGCTCCGGTGGGCCCCACATGCCGAATGCCAACACAGATCATCAAGCTTTTGTTCGTCGCCATCCGTTCTGCTTTGGCAGGCGACGGTTACTATGAGAGCTAAGCAGTAGACTGGCTTTCGTGGGAAAAATTATGTTGTATTGTCATATCATTTTTTTTATTATGTATTTGTTATGTATTGGGTGATATGAGATGGTCTGATTTAACTTCGGGAATAATTATTAGGTCCAGATGTACATCTGACATAGCTCTACATTCGGACGCAAATAACATGTCGTCACGTGCTCTTACTCTTTACCGCGCACCCCGACGACCCGACCCAGACCAGAACCCGGTATTGTTATGTTCGGGTATTGCTAGTTATTGCTCGGTATTGCTATGTATGGTTCGGTATTGCTAGGTATTGCTTGGCAATAACGAGAAATACCGTTCTGTCAAGACGAATACCTAGCAATACCGAGCAATACTTAGGAAAACTAATACATAGCAATATCGAGTCCGGGTCGTCGGGCCGCGCGGTAAAGAGTAAGAGCACGTGGCGACATGTTATTGACGTCCGGATGTACAGCTACGTCTGGTATCCGGACCTAATAATTATTCCAACTTCGGAGGGTCCAGTGTCCGCACAGAATAGCGGACACCGAAAGCCATCCGAGAGCGAATCAGAACGCGCCACGTCACTTTTTGTTGTGTACTGCGATTATGAACTAGATGACATGACATGCACTGATTCGCCTCCAGGCGATCTGATATCCGCATATAATAATTTCTCGCATTAAATAATGCATGCATTGGTATTTCCGCGAATTATTTAAGATTGAAGCCAAATATGAAAGATTTTAAAAATTGTAGTATTGTATGGAAGGGCTCCATTCCAAATGGCTTCCTCCTCTTTTTTCCCAATCTTTTGTGACTTTGTGATTGCTTAAGATTATTTTCTCATAGCATTACTGTTTAATATATAATGAAGAGAAAAACAATATAATTTAAAAGAAATTAAACCAAACGCTTACTTCCTCCATAGGATCCACCAAATACTACGACTGGAGAGCTCTCTGCACTAAGATTCTTCTTTAGATCAACTACAAATGCTGCGTAATCTGCCAAGGCCTGTGATATGCTCAAGTATCCAGCAGTGGTTGCGTTCTGAAAAGCTTCTTCTTCGCTACCAAACGGAAACGACTTGCCATAGTATCTATGCTGTGTGAACCATAATGTATATCAATTAATTAAATCTTTTTTTTTTGCACAAATAATTTAAATTATATGAAGGATTAGGCCACCAAATTCCAACTAATTATTAGAAATTATTTGTAATAGCAATATGTTTGAAAGGGTCGAGCATTTGTTTTTTTTTAATAGAATTCTCTTGTTTTACAACTCAAAAACTCTCTCTCTCTCTCTCTCTCTCTCTCTCTCTATCTCAAAAATGATCTTTATATTATAATTATTTTAATATAGTCTTTCGATTATATGAAATTGATCTCAATTTAGATCCAAATGGATCATTTTGGATCAATTTTTTATAGCATAGTATTGATCATTTGTTTTTTTCGTAAATATAATTCTCTTTTTTTTACTACTAAAGCTCTCTCTCACGCGCGCACACACAGAATGATCCCTCATAGAATTCTCCGTTTTTTACTACTAAAAAAACAAACACAAACTCTTTCTCACATACACAAAAAAAATGATCACTCGTATTGTAATTATGAGTTAAAATCGATCCCAATAGTCTTTCGACTATACGAAATTGATCTAAATTTGGGCCCAAATAGATCATTTTGGACCAATTTTATATACCAGAGGGATGACCAATTTGTTTTTCCCTAAATAGAATTCTCTTTCTTTTACTACTAAAACACACACACACTCTCTCTCTCACGCGCACACAAAATGACCCCTCATATATATTATATTTATAAGTTAAAATTGATCATTTCGGCTGTGCAAAATTGATCCCAATTTAATCCAAAACGGATCATTTTAGATCAATTTTATATAGTCAAGGGACTAAAATCAATAACATGATACTCTAAGACTAAGGCTTCGTTTGAGAGGGCTTTCTTCTTGCTTTCTAAAACATCTTTCTAGTATACAAATTTCTTGAATTTGAATTTTTGTACTAGAAAACCGTTTTAAAAAGCAGCACGAAAGCTATCACAAACAAAGCGTGAATTGGGCAGGTACAAATATTCGGAGGACTATTTTGAAGTTTTTCTCATAATAAAATAGTTAAAAAAAGACTAGTAATTAAAACCACTAACCTCTATAAACACTATGAGAGCCTCAAAGGTAGGAGCAATATCAAGCAAGAATCCATTGTTATCAGCAAATATATCAATAGAGGCTTCGTTGCCAGCATAAACAAAGATAGGCGAGGATTTGGCTGCTCCACCCCAGTAATCTCCATTAACCAAATACCTCTGTTGGAAGCTGATGTAGCTCTTTGGATGATAGTTGAAATGGTCTAATATTTGGGTAAAATGCTTAGTCTCATAGCCATGGCTGCTCTTCTGATCTGAATTGTGCCTTTTTGAGATCTGCGAGGGCTTCAGCAATGAAGGGAAGTGGAAGCCATGAGAGGAGGAGAAGGGAGGAAGGGAGAATAAGGAGAAGAATAGCAGAAGAAATATTGGATTCATTGGAGTTAATAACGAGGATGTTTGAGTTTAGAAGTCGGATTAATGGACTTTGATAAGAGCTTTGATACATTCTTATTTAAAAAATAAAGAATGTCGATCTTTATTTAAAAAAAAAAGGAGAAAAGTGTGTTAGAAATAAAATATATTAGGGAATATTTGGAATAGTTTTCTCGTTGTTTTGCTTTTCAGGTTAGCAACTATATTTTCGTTTGGTTATCATCTTATATTAGTTTTTTTTTAAGATTTTTAGAAAATTTTGTAGTAGAAGGCTGTTTTTCACAACGAGAATAATTAAGTTGCTTTTATCAAAATCAACTTTATAAATGATGCAAGTGTCCTAAACAGACCCTTGGTTTCATCAATTTTAGAACCGCGCAAGATCAATTTTTTCCTTTACCAGGTTTTAAATAAACAAGAGAACAATTTCAATACGTTGCCAAAAATTATGTTGATTGGGCATGAATCTCGAGATATATTTGAATTAGAAATTTTTAAAATTAAATTCAAGATCATAAAATTAAATTCAAGATCATCTAAACTCCGATTCAAACAAACTTATAGTCAAACTAAACATTTCAAGTTGAACTCAACAAATGGTTCAATTTGAGCTTGGAAATATCCAAATCAAATATGCAACTCCAAAAAATTATAAACAAGCCCCGACTCTCTAAATAAGAAGCGGAGCTTGGGGCTTAGCTAACGATTCAAGATAGCTCTAAGGCTTCAAGAATTCTATAGCTCCACCCTAGTAGCACCGCTAACAAACCGTCATCGACCGATTGTTAGCGGGTTTTCTCCTCTCAGCCATTGCCAGCAGACATCCGCTTGGCCATAGTTGAGCCTTTGCCCTATCAATGTCACTAGAATTTTATCTATAACCATCACCATTGGACATTTTCCCTAACCCCCAAAATCCTAAACCCTAAGCCCTAAGTCCTAAGCCCTAAATCCTAAATAACCCAAAATAACTTTATATGAAAATAAGAAAATTTTGGGTTGAGCTTGTGGCATTGTGTTGGTAAGTGCAAGGCACTGAGAGCGTTGTCATGCCAGGAAATGCAGTCATGACGTTGAAGGTTCTATTCTATAGTAACTTTTGGACTAACCATTAGCTCGTTAGCGGTGGGGTTTGGGCGTCATGGTGCGGAGCATTGAAATAAATTTTTAATATTTTATTATAAATATGTGTATGATCAAGAGAAAACGTACAAAATCTAGAAATGATATATATAACATGCATATGATTATAGTTTATTTGGTATAACATGTATTTTCGCATAATACATACATATTAATGAACATAATATATAAATCTACAAATTATGGAAATAATGTATGATTTGTATATGATGTGTATATGAATGATGATACATGGAAAAGAACAAACAAAATAAATGAACTGATATGCTATATAAAATATATGAGATTGATATTAATATGATTGATAATATACATGATATATCAATAAAAGATATGACTAACTGATGATTGATGAGTGTTGATAGATGTTAGATAAAATAGATGGATAATGTGATGAATGAGTGAAATGTGATGATATTGGTTGATTGGTAAGAATGATGATTGATCAAAGTGGTATAAGAAACATGACTGATATGTAGCCAGACTTACAAGATGCATATGATAAGGTTGGTTCATATGATACATGATATAATTGATATATGTAGATGACAAGATTAATAAACAAGGACATCTAATATACATTATTCACTAATATTATTCTTAATGACCGCTATATGTTCTTAAAGTTATATGATTACATGAATATTATTCTAGTAATTCATTGATTTCAGTTGTAGATATTGGTTACTTGCTGGACTATGCACTCATTATATGATTTTTACATACTTTCATGTAAGGATAAGAAGTTTGTGGAGGATCTGGGTCACAGGTTTAACTTTGTTTTTTTTTTTTTTGTATCTACTAGACTTCTTTTTTGTAGTCATGATGTATTGATAGTGATGGATTAGCTTTTTTTATCATGGTATTAATGTGTATACGTCATTTTGGGCTTGTTTAAGTTGTAGATATTAAATGAATATAAATGGACTTGTATTTTTCACTATTTATGTAGAGCTGTAAGCTATGGTTGAATGTTTAAAAGGATATATAGATGCAATTCTTTTGATTTAAGTTGCAGGGCATTACAAAATGGTATTAGAGTAATGCTTATTGAAAGAATTGAATTGTAACTAGAGTTTATAAACAAAATAAAAATGGGTTAGTGCATAAAAGCATTGAGTTGTATTCATGTATTTATGAACATGTGTTATATACATAATAGAATATCCATTGCAATGTATTTTAAAAAATTTTAACTGATAAGCAAAGACAAATGAATTCAAAAGGGAAAGAAATTCATACTAAATAAAATACATAAACAGCTTCAATTACACTTGAGGGTGTATTAAAGTCTGCTGATATGATTGCTCGAATGATTAATGAAAGATTGGCTAAGTAGTCTAAGCAATCATCTTTTAAATAGAAACCTCCACCAGTTAAGAAATGGGTCAAGGTAGTAAGAGGAAGTTTGAAAAGATTGAAGGTGCCTGCCATAAATATTATGCAATGTGTTAGTGTGGCAGAAGGCATACAGGGCAATGTTATAGAATGACAGGGCAGTGCTTTAGATGCTGTAGCTATGGGTAGAAGATGATGCATTATCCACTACCTAGGTATGAGCAAGGACTTATTCAGACTAGGGAAAGAACTGTGAGTGGTATTGACCCCTCGTGATAGAAAGTGCATAATAGTTCTACTAGTATAGTTTTCTATTCTGAATATTACTATGCAATTTTGTTATGTTGTTTTGAAATGCATTGCATCCCATGATATTTATTTCATATGTGCACCGATCATAAAATGAAATTATGATTTGATTGATGTAACTGGTGATCAATTTAGTTATTTTGTCGCTATTATGTAATAGAAATGCTAAGAATGATATTTTTCTAAAGTGGGGAGATTGTAATAACCCAAATGACTTTATATGGAAAATATATAAATTATGGGTTAAGCACAGTGATGTTGTGCTTGCAAGCGTAGCGGCGCTGAAAGCACTATGGCATAAGAAAATTCCACCATGGAGTTGAATGCTCTGCTCTATAGTATCTCCATGGTTGACATGCAGTGTAGAGGCGATAGGGCTTGGGAGCCGTGGCGGATGTTGATCACTAAAATGAATTTTTTAATATTTTTGATATAAATATCCCTGACACTCCACCCCATCTCCTCCCTCATTTCATGACTTGCTCGGAAAGGAAAGGAAGGAGAAAAAGAAGAGAAGGGAGAGAAAAGAGAGAGAAAGCTCTCCCAAGCTTTTTTGTTATTCACTCATGTTATAAAAGTTATTCTGATCATTGTAAGTGACATTTACTCTATTTTTTTTTCAATTATTACGGGTATAGTAAATTACCTCCTTCTAAATTTCTAATTATGCTTCAAGTGTTTGATTTGAGTTTATTTGTACTCGGATCAATTCCCTGTTTAAGTTAACAGGTTCGTTTTCTCCATACATTCAATTCAACTATAAGTTTATTAAAATTAGAGGTCAATGATCTTACATTGAATTTTGATTTTTTTTATTTAAATATGTATCAAGATTCATGCTTAATAAACATCACAATAACCATTAATTTCAATTTTTGGATATTTTTTTGCATCTCCAATCGCTAAATTTCCAAAATCCGAACGAAGCCCTCATATTGTTACAAATGCTTAGGTTATTTGGTGGGTTATTCACCACAAAAATATTTTTTGGCCCATGCCAAATGGGCCAATTTAAAGCAGTAACAGGACAACTAGGCCCGTTATCCTATCATGCCATCAATCAGTTAACGGAGCCCAGTTGAGAACCCAAAAATTTTTTTAATGAAAGACTAAGAGTTCCAAAATGAATCAATATATTTAATAAATATTATTATTGCTCACTTATTATCATTTAGAGTCTATTTGAGATGATTATATTATTTTATAAAATTGAATATAAAATTATTATAGGAAAAATAACCTAACTACTGTAGTTGCAAAAAACAGTTTTTCCGTACAAAAATTTCTAAAATGATTGTGAGAAAATAATAATAAAGTAGTAGCCAAATGAAATTGTGTTTGCTATGAGTAAGCAAAGCAACAAGAAAACTGTCTTGAACAGGGAAAATTATTAGGTCAGGTGACTTGATGTAGCTCTACGTCCGGTAGCCAATAATATGTCGCCACATGCTCTTACTCTTTACCGTGCGGCCCTACGACCCGTCTCGCATCGGAATCCGGGATTACTATGTTCGCGTATTGCTCGGTATTTGCTCGGTATTGCTAGGTATTGCTTGACAATAACGAGAAATACCGCTCTGTGAAGACCAATACCGAGCAATACCAACTAATGCCTAAAAGAACTTGGTATTGCTCGATATTGCTCTTCATAGAATGGTATTTTTCATTTTTGTCGAGCAAAATCGATCAATAACTAGCAATACCGAGCAATACGCAAACTCCCGGGTCCGTTCCGGATCGGGTTGTCGAGCCGCGCGGTAAATAGAAAGAACACGTGGAGCATGTTTACTGCTTACCGAATGTAGAGCTACGTCAGGTTACCGGACCAAATAAAATTTTCTTGAACAGACCTTTAATGAACTAATTAAATAAGCTTGAACATTTCTTTATTGACAAACTTAAATAGTTCTTTTTTTATTTTCTTATGATCATGAATAATAGCATTTAAAACTTATTAATAAGCTCGATTAAGGCTCCATAATATGCTCATTTAAAATTCAATAATAGATTTTGTTAATATCTGTTTATATCAAAGTTTTATTGTTTTCTATATAAATTATTTTAATTTATTCATGAGCATAAGCAAACTTAATATTGCTCATTAAAACTATTAATTATTTAGTAGTTCATTTAATTAAAATCTCATTTTGCACCTCAATAAAATACTCATTAATGGGATTGATAAGATTTAATTACTTAACTAAGAAGCTTCT